ATAATATTCTGGCAGATGTTAGTACATATATTATCATGTATTTAATGTTTATCCTATAGCAATCCGGGATAATATTTAATAGTGCTATTTCTGGAGACAAATCCATATTTATATTTAGTATTTCTGATATTGAATTCTGTATCATTTTCCAATAACCCTGTATCCTGCCACAATGCCACCACATGTGAAAGAAAGTTCCGACATTTGTTTTACATTTCCAACAATCTTTAGAAATAGAGGGATTGCATTTTGCTAACCTATCTGGTGACCAATACCACCGGTGAAAAACTATAAATATTTTCTTTATAATTAGTAGCTCTCATATACTTAACTGATTTCCATATCTCTGTCCATTTACCAATATCAAGAGGGTGGCCTATATCCTTCATCCACGTTACCATTCCTGAGCTAACAATTTCATCTTGTCTATCTTCTTCCAACAGAAATTTGTATAGTTTTTGCACCATTTTATCATTTGTTGATAACCAGATCTTATCTAATGATGTCTTTGATTGAAAACCTACTACTATGTCTTTAGCATATCTAGATTGAAGTTGTAGTTTTTCCCACCAGGTTAGGTTGATTTTATACAAAGATCTTAATACTTCTTCTGATTTTAGTTCATTATTATCATCCAACAGTACTTCATAACTTATTCTATCACATGCGTTAATGAGATAAGGTGTTATAAATGCCTCTAAGGGGGATACCCATTTTGGTGTCTTAATATAATATCTATCTTTTATGTCGGTCCAAACCCTTAGAAGTGCTCCTCTTATCATATGGTACCTAAAATTAGAATGTATCTTATCTTTCCCATACCATATGTAGGAATGCCAACCCATATTTAAATCATGTCCTTCTAGGTTAAGAGTTCTTGTGTTATCCAAAGTTATCCAGTCTTTTATCCAACATAGGGCTGATGCTTGGTAGTAGAATTTCCAATTGGGTAACCCCAGTCCCCCTCTTTCTTTTCTATCCTGTAGGATTTTCCATTTAATTCTTGCCCGCTTAGGATACCAAATAAACTTTTAAACAATTTTATCTAATTCTGTAAAGAATTTTGTATTTCTTAATATAGGTATATTTTGGGTTAGGAAAAGGAACCTCGGTAAAATATTCATTTTTATTGTCGATACCCTCCCTAATAATGATAACTGTAGAGCTTTCCAACATTGTAGGTCTTTTCTAATTTCCTCCAGCAGTTTATTATAAACTGAGTTTCAATGCCCATTGACTTCAATAGACTTAAAAAGGATGTAATGCTGTTTAGGACTGAAATTAGTTGGACAACATAAATCTGGCTGAAAAAAGACAAGAGGACATAATGGAAAACACTGGGATGCAACTGGCTGGCTAGAGTGGCTTCTGGATTCTGTATTGAAATGGAATGAACAAATAATGGCAATTCCTAGATGAATGACTAGTGTGGTGGCATAGTGTTTGAAGTGAGGTACAAATCAGAAAGTCCACAGTTTGAGCCTGCTCTGAACTCAGTGCACTTAAATAAGCCACTATCCCATCAGCCTCAGACTCTGTCTGCAACAGGGGAACATGTTAATGGGAGTACTGAGATAATGCATATGAAGTATTTTGAATCTTGACGTGTACCTTGTTATGGTTAGGAAGTTACATTCTTGACCAATGTTCATTCTTCTTAATCCTCCCCCTTTCTCAGATATATACATCATGAACATTTCTGAAATATCTCCAGGTTATGCCCACAAACTTTCAAGGTGGTGATTACAGTTTTTCAACTGGATCCTTTTTTTAAGTGAAAGCCAAACTTCTCAGGATTTGTTGTTGTTCAGTCGCACAGTCGAGTCCGACTCTTCGCGACCCCATGGACAATCTCCCGCCAGGCTCTCCTGTCTTCCGCCGTCCTCCGAAGTTGGCTCAATTTCATGTTCGTTGCATCGCTGACACTGTCTAACCATCTCATCCTTTGCCGTCCCCGTCTTCTTTGACCTTCAATCTTTCCCAGCATCAGGGTCTTTTCCAGTGAGTGCTCCCTTCTCATTTGGTGGCCAAAGTATTTGAGCTTCAGTTTCATTATCTGGCCTTCCAGGGAACAGTCAGGGTTGATTTCTTTGAGGATTGACTGATTTGTTCTTCTTGCAGTCCAAGGGACTCTCAAGAGTCTTCTCCAGCACCATAGTTCAAAAGAATCTATTCTTCGGCGCTCGGCCTTCCTTATAGTCCAACTCTCACAGCCATACATGACTACTGGGAATACCATTGCTTTGACCATGCGGACTTTTGTTGGCAGGGTGATGTCTCTACTTTTTATCATGCTGTTTAGGTTCGCCATCGCTTTCCTCCCAAGGAGCAGGCGTCTTTTAATTTCATGGCTGCAGTCACAGTCTGCGGTGATCTGGGATCCCAGGAACGTGAAGTCTGTCACTACTTCCACGACTTCCCCTTCTATTTGCCAAGGAGTGATGGGGCCGGATGCCATGATCTTAGTTTTTTTGATGTTGAGCTTCAAGCCCACTTTTGCGCTCTCCTCTTTTACTCTGAGCAAGAGGCTCTTTAGATCCTTTTCACTTTCAGCCATTAGAGTGGTATCATCTGCATATCTGAGGTTGTTGATCTTTTCCCCAGCAATCTTAATTCCCGCTTGTGATTCATCCAGGCCAGCATTTCGCATGATGTACTCTGCATATATATTAAATAAGCAAGGTGACAGTATACATCCTTGTCGTACTCCTTTTCCTATGCTGAACCAATCAGTTGTTCCGTATCCGGTTCTAACTGTCGCTTCTTGGCCCTTATACAGGTTTCTCAAGAGACATGTGAGGTGGTCTGGTACTCCCATCTCTTTAAGGACCTGCCATAGTTTGTTGTGATCCACACAGTCAAAGGCTTTAGCATAGTCAATGAAGCAGAAGTAGATATTTTTCTGGTACTCTCTTGCTTTCTCCATAATCCAGCGAATGTTGGCAATATGATCTCTCGTTCCTCTACCTCTTCGAAACCCAGCTTGTACTTCTGGTAGTTCTCTATCCACGTACTGTTGAAGCCTAGCTTGTAGGATCTTGAGCATGACCTTGCTAGCGTGTGATATGAGTGCAATTGTGCGATAGTTTGAACATTCCTTGGCGTTGCCCTTCTTTGGGATTGGAATGTATACTGATCTTTTCCAATCCTGTGGCCACTGTTGCGTTTTCCAAATTTGCTGGCAAATGGAGTGCAGCACTTTAACAGCATCATCTTCTAAGACTTTGAATAGCTCAGCTGGAATACCATCACCTCCACTAGCTTTGTTGTTAGCAATGCTTTCTAAGGCCCATTTAACTTCACATTCCAGGATGTCTGGCTCGAGGTCAGTGATTATACCGTCGTGGTTGTCAAGGACATCGAGGTCTTTCTTGTATAGTTCTTCTGTGTATTCTTGCCATCTTTTCCTAATCTCTTCTGCTTCTGTTAGGTCCCTACCGTTTTTGTCCTTTATCATGGCCAGCTTTGCATGGAACGCTCCCTTGATTTCTCCAACTTTCTTGAAGAGATCTCTAGTCCTTCCCATTCTATTGTTTTCTTCTATTACTTTGCACTGTTCATTCAGGAAGGCCTCCTTATCTCTCCTTGCTGTTCTCTGGAAATCTGCGTTCAGTTGGGTAAATCTTTCCTTTTCGCCTTTGCCTTTCGCTTTCCTTCTTTCCTCTGCTATTTGTAAAGCCTCATCAGAAAGCCATTTTGCTTTCTTGCATTTCTTTTTCTTTGGTATGGTGGTGATTGCTGCCTCCTGTACAATGTCACGAACCTCCGTCCATAGTTCTTCAGGCACTCTATCTATCAAATCCAGACCCTTGAATCTATTCTTCACCTCTACTGTATATTCATCAGGGATGTGATCTAGGTCAAACCTGAATGGCCTCATGGTTTTCCCGATTTTCTTCAGTTTAAGTCTGAATTTTGCAATGAGTAGCTCATGATCTGAACCACAGTCAGCTCCAGGTCTTGTTTTTACTGACTGGATAGAGCTTCTCCATCTTTGACTGCAAATTATATAGTCAATCTGATTTCGGTGTTGCCCATCTGGTGATGTCCATGTGTAGAGTCGCCTCTTAGGTTGTTGGAAAAGGGTGTTCGCTATGACCAGTGTGTTCTCTTGACAAAACTCTGTTAACCTTTGCCCTGCTTCATTTTGCTTTCCAAGGCCAAACTTGTCTGTTATTCCAGTTACCTTTTCACTTCCTACTTTAGCATTCCAGTCCCCTATGATGATGAGGACATCATTTTTTGGTGTTAGTTCTAGGAGGTGTTGTAGGTCTTCATAGAACCGGTCTACTTCAGCCTCTTCTGCATCAGTGGTTGGGGCATACACTTGAATTACTGTGATGTTGAATGGTTTGCCTTGGAATCGGACAGAAATCATTCTGTCATTTTTGAGATTGTATCCCAGTACTGCCTTTTGCACTCTCTTGTTGACTATAAAGGCCACACCATTTTTTCTACGAGATTCCTGGCCACAGTAGTAGATATAATGGTCTTCTGAGTTAAATTCGCCCATTCCTGTCCACTTTAGTTCACTGATTCCTAGGATATCGATGTTCAGTCTTGCCATCTCATTTTTGACCACGTCAAGCTTACCTTGATTCATAGATCTTACATTCCAGGTTCCTATGTAGTATTGTTCTTTGCAGCATTGGACTTTCCTTTCACCATCAGACACATCCACAGCTGAGGGTCCTTTCGGCTTTGGCCCAGCCGCTTCACTCTTTCTGGGGTTACTTGTACTTGCCCTCTGCTCTTCCTCAGTAGCATATTGGACACCTTCCGACCTGAGGGGCTCATCTTCCGGCGTCATATCTTTTAGCCTTTTGATACTGTCCATGGGGTTTTCTTGGCAAAAATACTGGAGTGGGTTGCCATTTCCTTCTCCAGGTGGATCACGCTTGGTCTGAGTTCTCTGCTGTGGCCTGTCCGTCTTGGGTGGCCCTTCACGGCATAGCCCACAGCTCAGGATAGACTCTTGCAATAATAAAGAAAATGCAAACTTACAAGTCCTGGAATGCATCAAAGGAAGTAGCTGAGGTGAAGACATCAAGCAACCCAATGACCTACAGAAAAGGTGGGCTCACAATGTAGGATTATAAAAAACACCAAATAGAAGCACAATTTTGGCCCTCACCCAGGGCCAGATTATGACATGATGAGGCCCTAAACGGTCAATTTAAGAAGCATCACGCAATGAATGTAATTCTCTGTTATTCTCACAGAAAGAACATGCTTGGTTTTTCTTAAAAACATTATCTCAGATGCTGATTTGCAGCTTGATCTATGATTGATAATTAATGCTCATATCTGTATCACTGTATATTGGGGGGGGGGGGAGAAGAACGAATCCCCTTTCACAATATATTGGTTTAAATGAATTTAGGATTTTGTATTAATGTGTAAATTAATATATTATGGTAGATTAAGATCTAATCCAAGCAGTCGTAACTTTAGTGTGAAACAGGCATCGTTTGTAATATACTGGAGTGACAAGTTTAATGATGAAACTGAACCTTATGCGCTCTTCACATTGTTGTAGCCAGAATGTAAAAAAGAAACTTCCAAAGGATGGCTAGATTCAAGTCCAGTAGCACCCTAGAAACCAACGATTTTCAGGGTGTAAAATCCCTGAAATTTCCAGAGGATATTTGCAAAAATTGCTGTGGACCTAGGCTGGGGTGATTTAAGTTATTTTCATATTTAGATGCCCTCACAGTAGTTTACCCAGTTTATCCCTCCTCTGTTACATACCATAAAGCATGTTTCAGAGCCAATGTAGGGCCTTTCTATGCAATGGGGGGAAGGGGGGCGACAACGTGACATTTGATTTGGGATTGGATCCTACCAGCATGCTCCACTGGTACACTCCTTTGGTGCAGAGCCAGATTAAGGCCAACTGATGATGCCCTAAGCACAACCCAACAATGGTGCCCCATTGTTTAATTGACAAGACATTAAGACTGAAGGTGAAATAGTTTACTTCCAGGCCATTCCCCAGGCCAGACTCCACAATTATATTGCATTTTTTTAAATTAAGACTAAACAGCAGTAAACTATACAAGTAAATTATTTACTAATAACTAGGGAGCAGGAAAAATGCCAGTTTTCAGCACTTTTTAATACATTTTTAAATAAAATTGCTATAAGGGGAAAAATGCAAATACAAAAATTTACTGAAAACTATTTTAATCAACCTCCTAAAGATTATAAAGCAAAATAGGATCTGATATTATCTCTAGTGAAATTACTTGATCTCGAGAGCATACTTTTCAATTTTGAAAACCTCTCTACAGAAATCAGTGCTGGTGGACAATTTTTTTAAAAAGGTATTCTAATGGAGAAGTATTATTTGTATGAAACAAAACATCTTTTATTCCATTGCTTTCTAACCTTATATACAGCATTTCTATATACGTGGATCAAAAGATGTAAAATAATGTTTATTGTTGCCTATGTATAACTTTATACTTTAAAAAGCTTTCTCAAACTTTTTAAAATTGCAGTTGTTGATCAAGTGACAAATCCTCAAAACTAATCTGGCATAAGAAATCTGCTTCTATACTTAGCAAATACAAGGCATCCAGCCTCTCTTATAGCATAGTTGCCCCTGCTGCCTCCCCCACTCAGTGCTAATAGTTCCAATGCCTATCATTTGTTATGAATAGCCATAACAGAAGGAATGACTGAGAAAAATATTTCCTCTTCAAGATGCCGCCCTTTCCTTGGTGCCCTAAGTACATGCTTATTTTGCTTAATAGTTAATCCACGGCTGCTCTTGTGTAAGAATGTATTGTCAGCAGAAGATCTTCTTTGCTGGCAGAACCACTTCTTGTGTCAATGGAAGGCAGGACTGGTTCAAGTCATTCAGCCACCACAATAACTCTTCTGCCATGCTTTCTTTCTCAGCAAAGTCCAGGGCAGCGGCAGGTTGGCACATATGGGGAGACTCCTCCTGTCCAAGCCATCTCTGCAGTGTCCAAACTGGACTACAGAGCCACTGCCTCTGGAGCACACCCTCAACATGACCAGTGGTGACAAAGTTTGGCAGGGAGTTTCCTTCTTTGCAGCCCCTACTGAGTCCAGGACAGACTGTAGAAGCTCTGGTTCCCACCATCCCTCTCCTGTTCATTTCTCCTTCTGGAGTTCATGCGCTGTTCACCTTGTGGTCAGCAAGTGTTATTTTGGATCTTGACATGGCCCCAGATATGTGAGATTTTAAAGCAGTTAGTGAGGCAAGTTCCTTCAGTCAGTATATGTAGTGGACTCTTGGTAGCTGGGACATGTGGAGCGTGGTAGGAGACTCTGATGGACAGGATGGACTATCTGACCAAGCCAAGGATAGGCAGACAGATAGACAACACACTAAAAGAGAGATCCTAGATGGGACCATAGTTATAGGTAGAATTGGAATGAGTCAACAAAAATAATTGAGACCTGGACCTCTTCAGACTGGTACACAGCCACAGAGACAATATGGAGAGGTACACGAAGGAGAGTAGGATCATGAAGGGACCTTAAATAGAGGTTGAGCCTACTAAAATAGTACCTAAAGGGGCCAATCACAAGAGCAGAAGGGCCAGATCCCATCCTGCTTTAATTTGAGTGCTCTCCCAGAGTATACTGCAGAATCCATCCCAGATATGAGAGAAGTGATTAAGACAAAAAGCGACAAGAATGAGAGTTTCGAATATTTCAGCCAGAAACTGCTGCCTTGAGTTGAAAAGGTAATATGTAAGAACTTAATAAAGCATGTTAAATGCTTCAAGTGTAGTCCCTGGTATCTTCACCTTCAACAATCTCAAATAGGAGAAGGCTGCCAGACAAGTAACTTGTACTTGATTAGCTGGAACAGTGATACAGCTCAGTATGACAATATGTTGCATTTTCTGGGTGAACTGAGGAGTCTATCATTGAAGGTCCAAGGAGAGACATAAATATCTGCCCAGATAATTCAGCTATGTGTTTAAAATTGCTACAGCAAAACAAAAAATCTGCATGCAAATTCTGCCATTATGGGTTTGGCCAAATTTTGCTTTAGTCAACCAAGGTAAAAAAAACCACACAAATGTTGACATATATTCATTTATTTATTTAAATTATACTCTGCTTTCTCCCCAGTAGGGAAGCTTACATCCTTCTTCTCTCCTCCATTCTAACCACCCTGGGAGCTGGGTTAGGCTGAGAGAGTGACTGGCCCAAGGTTACCCAGCAGCAGGGTTCTTTTTGTAGAAAAAGCCCAGCAGGGACTCATTAGCATAATAGGCCACACCCAACAGCAGAAACTCATTAGCATATTAGGCCACACCCCTGACAGCACCACTTATTAGCACATTAGGCCGCACCCCCATGTTACCAGAAGTGTGGTCATCCAGCCACACCCACCTTTCCCTTCTTATTCTGTTTACCTTGTTTGTTGTCCAAACCCGGGGGGGGGGGTTGTAGCAGGAACTCCTTTGCATGTTAGGCCTCACACCCCTAATGTAGCCAGTCCTAATGAGTTTCTGCTATTGGGTGTGGCCTGTTATGCTAATGAGTTCCTGCTGGGCATGGCCAACTCAGGAGCCAGCTGGAACTCCGTTCCTGTGCGCTCCTGCCCAAAAATAGCCCTGCCCAGCAGTAGGGTTGCCAGCCTCCAGGTGGGGCCTGGAGATCTCCCACTTTTACAACTGATCTCTAGCTGACAGAGATCAGTTCCCCTGGAGAAAATGGCTGCTTTGAAGGGTGGACTCCATGGCATTGTACCCTGCTGAGGCCCCTATGCTCTCCAGGTGTTTTCCAACCCAGACCTGGCAACCCTACCCAGCAAGCTTCCATGGCAGAGCAGGGATTCAAACTTGGGTCTCCCAGATCCTAGTCCAACACTGTGATCATCACTACTCCCCCACTGGACATTAGACTTCCACCCACTCTCCATCCCAGGTAGCATTCAAGAGAGGCAGGCAACTGTTTGTATGCACAGGAATGGAAAAGTTACTCACGTTCTCATGCTGCATGTGCTTCAGCAGTGTGAGTTCCCGATATGCCCGCTTGGCAAAGATTTCAGACTGGAATGGGCGGCAGAGCTTCTTGATAGCCACTTTCTCTCCTGTTTTCTTATCTATTGCTGAGCTGCAGCAAAGAAAAGAGGACATTCAGAAGGGGGGAAATCAAGCTGCAGCACTTTGATTGAGTTCCATCGTTACCCATAGGTCACGCTAATATTGTTCTGATGAGATTGCTGAATGTAAACTAAAGGGGCTAGTGAATAGCCCATTAATTGAGTAAGGGAGATGTAATGTATTCAGCCTGACATGCCCGGACTTGCCCGGGCTGGCCAGGCACAATTCCTATGTTAGCTTAGGGTTGCCAAGTCTGGATTGGAAAATACCTGGAGACTTTGGGGGTGGAGCCAGGAGAGGGTGTGGTTTGGGGAGGGGAGGGGCCTCAGCGTAGTACAATGCCATAGAGTCCACCCTTCAAAGCAGCCATTTTCTCCAGGGGAGCTGATCTCTGTCGGCTGGGGATCAGTGGTAAAAGCGGGAGATCCCCAGGCCCCACCTGGAGGCTGGCAACCCTATGTTAGCTTCAGTCGAAAGACAAAGGATCCGGAGGATCCTAGCCGGCCCAATCAAAAGGGCTAGCTTCCCAGCCGGGAGACCAATGGTTGCCCGGTTACTGTAAATAGCCTATCGGGAGTAGGGGGTGTGTTTAGGTATGCTTGGTGGCGGGGTTTCTGAACATATATAAACCGGCCGGCGAGCCGGTCAGTTGTCTTTGTCCTGCACTAAATAAAGGTATGCTTAGCTGAAATCACTCTCCGTCTGCATACTTTTCAGGAGAGCATGACCAGGTATGATGAGATCATTTCAGGAAGGGATATTGTTTCCGGAGAAGCCCATTTAAGAGATTAAGCATCTCTGTTTAAAGTGGGGAGAGATCTATTAGCAAGTACAAGACTCAGAGTTATTTCCCAAAATAGTTTCTCAGGCCTGTCTTTTACCAGCATCCATTTTGTTTATATCCAGCTCTGTCTTGGTTCCATTCCTAGCCAAGCTGTGTGATACACATGTATGATGTTGTGGGTGATATTTAGAAGAGGGGCATCCTTTACAAACTGCCCTTCTGCAGGAGAGGCCTGGGTGCTAACACCATTGTTGCAACACTTGGATTCAGACCCACTGGATTACTGTATGGGTCACCAGGTCTAATTGTAAGCATAATTTTATAAACCTATGGCCTCTTTCAGCATTACATAGTGGCAAATACACATTTTCTATTTCATGTAAGCACAATAGGGAGCCATGGTTGTTGGTGCACCCAATCTCTACATCTCTAATGCATGCATGTGCAAGCACTCTTCTTTCATGTCCAGTCACTGGTTTTGCATTCTAACATTCTGCTCAGCTACATTTGGAGACTTTTACTCCCAAGGAGCCTTCCTTCAGCAAAAGAAGCTCTTCCTCTTGAGGAAGTCTCCTTGCACTGCAAGAAAACTGCAAACTTGCTAAGCAAAATGGAATTATACAACCCACTGCATTTTATGTATATGTTTGATGTGTACTCTAAAAAAATCATCACATGGTGTTATGCAGGTAGAGAAGTACTTTTCTTCCTTTCTCACGATATAAGAACTCATGGGTACTCAGTGAAATTGCTGAGCAGTTGGGTTAGAATGGATAAAAGGAAGTACTTCTTCACCCGAAGAATGATTAACACATGGAATTCACTGCCACAGGAGGTGGTGGCGGCTACAAGCATGGACGGCTTCAAGAGTGAACTGGATAAACACAGGGGTCATTTTGTAGAAAAAGAGCTGCAGAAGCTCATTAGCACAACTTATTAGCATATGCCACACCCCCTGACATCACTGGAATTGTGCACCAGCCCCTCTGACAGGCAGAAGCACCTGGGATCCATTCTTCCCCCCCCTCCCTTCCCTTCACCTCCAAATCGGGCAAAGAAAAAAGGGAGGGGGAGGATCTCAGGCGCTTCTGCCTGACAGAGGTGCTGGCGTGCCCACAGCCAGCCTGGGTGAATTATAGAATCATAGACTCATAGAGTGGGAAGGGACCTCCAGGGTCATCTAATCCAACCCCCTGCACAATGCAGGAAATTCACCAATACCCCCCCACACACCCCAGTGACCCCTGTTCCACACCCAGAGTATGATTTTTAAAAAGTTACTTTTCCCCCACCATAGAGAACAATGGAGGGGATAGGGGAAACCTGTTTGGGGGCCCGTAGAATTGGACCCCGTGGTCCAATGTTCTTCAAACTTGGTTGGTATCTTGGGGAGAGGCTCCAGAAGCTACCCTGCGAGTTTGGAGCCTCTCCCTCAAACTGCCTCCCCTCCAGCTCCCAGAATATACCTATGTTTTTGCCATTGACGTCAATGGCCCATAGGCTATAATGGGGCCGAAATTGACATTGGCTGGCCCTTTTTCAGGCCCCGGTGTCCTAGCTTGGAGCCTGAAAAAGGAGGGGGGGAGGGGGCGTGGCTCTGCAGGCCGTTTTTCAGGCCCCGCACTCCGGTGTGGAGCCTGAAAAAGGTGGGGAGGGCAGCTTAGCAGCCCCCCCCCTGTGGTAGCAGCTGCCGCCATAATTTTTTTAAGAGCCCCTAAGGACAGCTGGGGGAGCCAGAATGACCTCTCGCCCGAGAGTGGGAATTTGCCCCTACGAGTCCAAGGACACCACCCCGGGATTCAGGGAGCCAGGAGAACGTTTCGCCCCCCCACACACACGGGCGTCGCAGCTGCTGCCCAGAACAGCAATGGCGGCCATAACTTTTTAAAGAGCCCCGAAGGAGAGCTGGGGGAGCAAAAATGACCTCTCACGTGAGAGGTGGACTTTGCCCCTCCGAGTCCAAGGCCACCACCCCGGGGCTGAGGGAGGCAGAACTTTTCACCCCGCCCTCCCGCAGGCATCACAGCTGCCGCGAGAATAGCGGCAGTGGCCATAACTTTTTAAAGAGCCCCTAAGGAGAGCTGGGGGAGCCAGAATGACATCACGTGCGAGAGGTGGAATTTGCCCCTACCAGTCCTCAGGGAGGCAGGAGAACATCCCCCCCCCCCGCGAGTGTTGCAGCTGCCGCCGAGAACAGCGGTGGTGGCCAGAACTTTTTAAGGAGCCTCGAAGGAGAGGTGGGGGAGCCAGAATGACCTCTCGCGTGAGAGGTGGAATTTGCCCCACGAGTCACACGCGAGAGGTGGAATTTGCCCCACGTGTCCAAGGCCACCATCCCGGGGCTCAGGGAGGCAGGAGAACGTCCCCCCCCCCGCGGGCGTCACAGCTGCCGCCGAGAACAGTGGCGGGGGGCATAAGTTTTTAAAGAGCCCCAAAGGAGAGCTGGGGGAGCCAGAATGACCTCTCGCGTGAGAGGTGGAATTTGCCCCTACGAGTCACACGCGAGAGGTGGCATTTGCCCCTCCGAGTCCAAGGCAACCACCCCGGGGCTAAGGGAGGCGGGGGAACGTTTTGGCCCTCCCACGGTTGCCCAACTGATGGCTGGTGGGAGCAGGGGGCGGGACTTATGTGCCCGCCCCCGGGCTCCTGACTGGCAGAGCGGTGCTCCGGTGCGCTCCAGCAGGAACCGAGGCCTGGATAAACATATGGAGCAGAGGTCCATCAGTGGCTATTAGCCACAAGGTATAGATAGGAACTCTCGGTCTGGGGCAAGTGATGCTCTGTATTCTTGGTGTTGGGGGGGGGGCAACAGTGGGAGGGCTTCTAGTGTCCTGGCCCCACCGCTGAACCTCCTGATGGCACCTGGTATTTTTGGCCACTGTGTGACAGAGTGTTGAACTGGATGGGCCATTGGCCTGATCCAGCATTGGCTTCTCTTATGTTCTTACATGTATTTATTACATATATGCCTTGCTGCCTCAGCAGCTCTGATCTTTCTTTGACCAACACGAGCTAACTTATGCTTTGGCCTGCCAAACCCCCATCAACATCCCTGTGTCATTGGGTGGTAACCTGGCCTACCATCAACTGTGAATTTATGGATGGTGGAAATAGTAATAGCTTTAAACAGATGATCAGACTGTGTATGCCTAGAGTGTCCATAAACACAGATTGTTAGAAGGAGCCTGGCAGTTAATGAAAGGGACAGAGAAGGAGACTGGCCTGTTTCCTTTTTATTTACATTTATATTTCACCTTTGGTCCATCACAGAACCCAAAGCTACATACAGAGGGGTTTGCAGGTCTCCCAGCTAGACACTGACCAGACCCAGAGCTGTTTAGCTTCAGCAAAAGTGTTGCCTTTCAACCATACCCAGAGACAATAGGCTGTGTCAGGTTTTCTCTCCTAAAGTGTCCAGAATCTGATTACATTACTGTCAGAGACAAAGTGCCAGGCTCAACAGGCTATTGATCTAACTGAATAAGGATGTGCTAATATTTTAGCTATGTTTTGAAATATCTGGCACAAAGTCATTGCTATTTATCATTGCCCCCATCAGTACTATGAGAGAGCATCATCTAGGGTCTAAGGAAGGAGAGAAAAATCTGAACTTTCAGCACCAGAAACAAATATTTTCATAACATTCAAAATCTTAGGGAAACAAGAGACCACAGTTTAATAGGCACAAAACTGACATTAACATTTTACATAATCTTCACTCAGGACATTTATTCATGTTTTGGTGCCATTTTACAAATTTTGCCACTAAAGATTACTAGACCTGGCAGCCGCAGCCAAGCCATCCTGAACAAGCAGACTTGCATAACAACATGTTTGCATAAACGTGTTTGCCCCATCCACCTATTACATTTTTTTTAGGCATGCATTTATAACATCTTAGGTGTCTACCTTAAAAAGCAGTATGGAGACAGACTGACTTTCCATACTCTTTGGCATATAAGTTTTGTCCTGCTGTAGGTTCTTGGTTATTAAATGCTAGTATTCCAGTTGTCATTATTTTTACACCAGGCTATTGAGAACAGAACTACATCTCCCTAAAGGAGAACATGTCATCTGATCAACGTGCCATCTGATCATATCGTTCAGCCTTTCCAGAAATGTCTGTATTTTCTTCCTTCCACTTGATTCTTCCATCCCAAAGAAACAAACTGGTTTTTTGTGTCACCTCTGATTATTTGTAATTCAGACACCAAAGAACTGAAATCTGACACAGAGAGCCCTGCAGGAAATGAGCTCCTGGTAAACTAGGAAGGTCACACACATGTACAGCTCATTACAGCTGAGTTGTTGACGCTTAAACTGTCGCACACTATGGCCGGAAGGAAACAAAAGTACCTTTTCCAAAACGCAAATAGATGGAGGAGAATGAAGAGGTATTTCACCTTGATTTCTCCCAAGAACCCAAACTTCCAGTATCCCATTTCCCAGTCTCCCCCCTCTCCAACTTGCCAAGCATACTGGGATCTACAAAGTCACTCACCAGACACAGCCGTAAGCCCCAGATCCTACTGGGGTGATGGAAACATATCTCTTAGGCAGCTCCCAGACTGTCTTGTTTACTTCCTGCCTGTAGAAGCCCTTTCTCCTGGAGAAGCTCATGTCCTGCGTGTCTGGAGTTGAACCCTCCAGTGCACTGGGCCCCCTGTAAGATTCAGGGAGAAACCCAGATATTTTCCCCCAGTCTTCCTGAGGAAACTGGATGCCTCCAGTTTTCCTTCTCAGTTGCGCTGTACACACTAAGACACGTCCCTCCTCCCTCTGCCCACACATGAGGCCAGGAAGGAGGCATCAGGTTTCAGATTAGACACTCCTCTTGCAGGTACTTTCAAAGAACTCACCTTTTCTTTGTAAGGTAGGAAGCGGACATTCCTGGCTGATTCAGAACTGAGAATGTGGTGCTGAAAACAAAGCCTTCTGAGCCCCTCACTTGCAGAAAGCCTACAGTAAAAAGAATAAGGGTTCAGAGTATAGAATACATCTTGTTTCTTCCTTGGGAAATGCTTAATGCAACTAAACAATCAGGGCTTAGAAAATCAAAATTGTCTGTGTAGATTCCATTTTTCTTTTCCATATGTAAGAGAATGATATGGGTCTTTTAAGACTCCAAGAGACCTAATGATATAAATGGTCAATTGGATTCTCCCTCCCTTCTCACAAAAGGGGGAGGAGGAGGAGGAGTTGGATTTAAACCCTCCCTTCACTCAAAATCTCAATCTCCTTCCCTTCCTCTCCCCACAACAGACACCCTGTGAGGTAGGTGGGGCTGAGAGAGCTCTGAGAGAACTGTTCTTGAGAGAACAGCTCTGAGAGAATTGTGACTGACCCAAGGTCACCCAGCTGGCTGTATGTGGAGGAGTGGGGAATCAAATCCAGTTTTCCAAAGTTAAGTCTGCCGCTCTTAACCACTACACCAAAATCCAGATTGAGTGCTCAGCTACAATGTAAAAAGAATCAGCCAAAATTGAAGATTTTTTAAAAAAAATCAGATTCATTAGCAAAATACTGCATTTTCCTTCAAACAGGATCCTCTATTTCTTGAGTGGGTCTGGGACCTACAGTGGTGGAACTTTGAAATAAAATCGTGCAACACTATCTTATCAGGAACTTGAGCTGAGCTAATAAACATTCTTTGCTACCACTGGTTGGAGTGGTGGCTCCCTTACTCCACCCTTCAGCCAGACAATCAGTTTGCATAGGGAGAGGGGTGGATAAGACAAAGAAAGGAATTCATGGGTATGTGTTAGGGTTGCCAAGTCCTTACTGTATGTAGAGCGGGGGACTCCAGTGCTGCTCCAGGAGTCTGTGCGCGCGCGCAAAGTGCGCACACGCCACAATTACATCACCCGGAAGTGACGCAACCACGTCGGGCACGCCGGGGGCGGGGCCACAATCATCCGAGGGAAAACCATTTTTGGATGACCACGGCCTTGTGCCCGACGCGACTGCGTCACTTCCGGGTGACGTACCGACGCTGGGCACGTCGTGTCCTTTGGGGGTGGGGTTCCCCCGGGGCCCGATCCACCGCCGGCGGGTAACGGACCTCTCGGGCGAGGGTTTCCCCGCCCCCCGGGGGGACTTGGCAAGCCTAGTATGTGTAATGTGTCTTATATTCTAATAGTGAAGTTGGGATGTCTTTGAATACTTAAATCCAGTGACTGGAGCTGTGAACTAATGCTGCCAGCCTCCAGGGGGGGCATGATCTCCCACTTTTACAACTGATCTTCAGCTGACAGAGATTAGCTCCCCTGGAGAAAATGGCTGCTTTGAATGGTGGACTCTATCATGGCATTGTACTATGTTGAGCCCCTTCCTTCCCCAAACCCCGCCCTCTCCCGGATCCACCCCCAAAGTCTCCAGGTATTTTTCAGCCCAGACCTGGCAACCCTATAGGGCAAGATAGATCTTTCTACAAACCCGAAAAGGGTCCTAGGTTTGCAGAAAAATGTGAAATATATATAAAAAAATACACTGGGCAGTTTTTAAAAGTTGAAGATGATAAAAGGAGTCTGTAGCTTTTTTAAAAAACTGATTCCCTTGATGTCTGTTGCTAGGCAACCATAGTATTCCAAGTTTGGTTCTGTCAGTAAAAGCCAGGTAGGCTTTCCAAGTCCCCCCGGGGGGCGGGGAAACCCCCGCCCCAGAGGCCCGTTCCCCGGCGCCGCCGGATCAGGCCCCGGGGGGAACTCCTCCCCAACATGCACGTCACCTGGAAGTGACGCAACCATGCCGGGCATGCTGGGGGAGGGGCCATGGCCATTTGAGGGAAAACTCTATGGTTTTCCCTTGTATGGCCGTGCCCCTGCCCCCAGCGTGCCTGGCGTCATCACGTCACTTCTGGGTGACGTGCATGTGGCGCGCATGCGCTCTGTGTGCACGCGCACACACCAGACACCGGCCGGGAGCCCCCCGCTCCCGGCGAAGATCAACTTGGCAACCCTAAAGCCAGGGGAACAGGACAGGACCCTTTCCAAGCGTCTTTTTGGCCTTTGAGGGAGGGATCCTTGGCGCCAGACCTGACAAAGGTTGCCAGCTCCAGGTTGGGAAATTCCTAGAAATTTTGTGATGGAATCTAAGGAGGGCAGGGTTTGGGGAAGGGAGTGGCCTCAGCTGGATATAATGCTTAACAGTCCTCCCTCCCCAGCAGTAGGGTTGCCAGGTCCCCCAGGGGGGCAGGGTTTTTCCCACTCGATGGGCCCCTTACCCATCGGCCCGTATTGGGCTGCCAGGGAGAACCCCACTCCCAAAGGGCTGGGATCATGGAAACGTCCCGGGGAGGGCAAGAACTCTGCCGCCACAGCAACAGGTAGGACTTGGCAACCCAACCCAGCAGCCATTTTCTCCAGGGAGACAGATATCTGTTGTCTAGAGTTCAGTTGTAATTCTGGGATATCTCCATGTTCCACCCGGAGGTTGGCAACCCTAGACCTGGCATCGCCCTCTGGGTGACTTGATACCACCTAACTTGCTTGACTCAAGTAGGCCTAGCTGCTTGCTACTGTTCAACAGTAGCCACTCTATGAAAGCCAGTGTGGTGCAGTGAGACCCAGGTTTAGATCCCCCATCTTGCTGTGGAAGCTGACTGAGTGATTTTGGATCTAACGTACCTCACAGGGATGTTGTGCAGATAAAAAGGAGGAGAGAATAATGTAAACCGCTTTGGTCTCCACTGTGGAGAAAGACTATTTTTCCTAGGTAGAAGCTGTGGGGGAGGGGGTGGAGACAGAAAGCTGAAGACAGAGGGGCAGATAGAGGTAGGTTGGCTGTTGGGTGGGAAGGAGATAGAGTTGCCAACTCCAGATTGGGAAATTCCTGGACATTTGAGGGGTGGAGCCTGGGGAGGGTGGGTTTTGAGGAGAGGAAGGACATAGACTCCAGTCTTCAAACCAGCCATTTCCTCCACAAGAACTACCTTTGCCAACCTCCAGGTGATGGCCAGAGAGCACCCAGAATTACAACTGCTCTCCAGGTGACAAAAGATCAGTTCCCTCAGATAAAGTGGCTGCTTTGGAGGGTGACATCTATGGCATTATACCCTGCTGAGGTTGCTTCCCTCCTTAAGCCTCACTGTCCCAAGACTCCACCCCCAGATCTCTAGGAATTTCCCAGCCTGAAGCTGGCAACCCTAAAGGGAATTGATCTCTGTAGCTGAGAGATCCCCTGTGATTCCTGGAGAGCTGCCACTGCTGCTGTGGGGGAGGGGAGGAGGCAGGTGGGCGGCTGGAAGAGTGATGGGGGCAGAAAGAATGAGACAGAGTGATGGGATGAGGGCAGAAAGAGAAAGAGTGGTGAGGAGGAGAGAAAAAAACAAAGAGGGTGATGAAGGGGTAGAAAGAGAGAGGAAGTGACATGCATGGAGGAGAGAGAGAGAAAAGGGGGCAGAAGGGAGAAAGAGAGTAAGAGAGGGAGAGGGGAGGAAGCAAAGGTGGGGGGGATGGAATAGCCACTTTGCAAGTTTTTTGTGATTCCCCACATATATCTAAATTTTAATTTGCAGGTTAAGCAGGAGAATTAGAGCTGATCCCTCCACTGAAGTCAAGGAGCACAGGGTAAACTTAAATTCAGGTGGGTAGCTGTTTTGGTCTGAAGCAGCAGAACAAAGTTTGAGTCTGGTGGCACTTTTAACAGAGTTTTATTCACGGTATAAGCTTTCGTGTGCAAGCATACTTCTTCAGATACAGTAAACTAGCATATAGCATAATGAAGATGTTTAACAGATTCAAGGACCAAACAGGAAGAACAAGCTTAGTTTATGTGGTTACCATTTGTTTTGGTTTAGTTTCAGGGGAAGACATAGTGAAGGAAATAAATATGTCAAAATTAGAGATTGATGGGCAGATGTATCCTTAATTGTGGAATTCTGAGAGTAATTAACTGAGACCCTTCCATTACATTCCATCCATCTCCTCTCAAGCTTGGAGGTGACCTTACAGCCTCTACTTCTTTGAAGTGGGATGATTGTCTGTGTAGAGTTATCTCCTCTGTCACCAGACCAGAGAAATACATTCCAATCTTCCATTCCAAATTATATTACATTACAATCTACTACTCTAATCTATTATTCCAAATAAGAAATAAAATGAAATAAAGAGGACATATGGTCCTTCTAGGGGATTGGTGAGAATACAGATGTAAGGGCTGAATATGGTTAGTGTATGTTGTGAGATAAGAACCCAATATCCTTGTTAAGTCCTGGGGATTCCATTGTTCTGAGTGTTGTAATAACTTGCAACTCAGCAAAATCTTCCTGTGCCTGACATTTGCACTACTCATTGTTACTGCTTTAGAAGGAAAAGGATCTTGATCATGTCAAACATTGAAACACAGTAGTCAATGTTGCCTCCTTTCATGTGGGATGTCCAAGGCAATTGCTCTCATTGCTCCCTCCCTTTAAAATAAAAACACCTGTGTATGGGGATACTCATAGTCAGGGCACCTTTACTACATAAACCAGCATTTAAAATGTTGGACTTCTCAGTGAACAAAGCTGGATATGTTCAGAGGCATGAAGGGCATTTTCTATATTGTATTTTTTAAACAATTTGAAGATTCTTTTAATATTTTACAATTACAAGAAAAAAACAGTATATGGGAGTCTTAATATAGACAAGTAACAGAACATAGAAAACATAAGAAAAAGAGAAAGAAATCCAATGAGCCAATTTTAGGCAGAAAGTTGAGCATAATCAAGACTGCACAAGATAATAATAGACATGCTAATAAAGATTGTTTTGTACTTTAAG